TGCCCACCGTGAAGACTAAAATCAAATTGAATCTCTATATTAAAAACTCATAAAATAATATATTATCTATACTAGTAAAATAGGATGAAATATATATTTGACATAAATAGACCGTTCAAAAATATGCTACAAGCATTCCGAAATATGTGGTTCCTATCATGCTACTTGCAGAGAAAACGAACAGGTTCAGGTGATATGAGACACCGAGTTTAATCGGTATAGGGTGATCACAAAGGTCGTTCCATAAAGCTGAGCACTCGAGATGGATTTCAAAAAGTTATTATCTATGGCAAAATGGTGTTTGAGCTGAAATTAAAATGTTTCTGGTTGTGATGAAGTGATCTGTCAAACAATACTCGAGTGAGGCGGGCTTAAACATGTTTTTTCTAGAAAAAATAAATAAATATTTGTAGCTACAGGTTTATTCTATGTAAATTAGTCATTAAAAAGTAAAAAAAAAATGCGTTAATGATTTTTGTCTGTTGCTTGTATAGGTATAATCGGTAACATTTCTGTGATAGTATCATATAGGAATGGTCGTGTTAATGCCTATACATGAACCAGCAAAAAATTATGAAGATGTCAATTGATAGCTTTGTGCAGTTTTTGTCGCCTGTTGAATATTTGCAATTTGAAATCTTCTGTCCTTCTCGTTGCCCTATGACATTTTTTTTTGGTCAAAAATCGCTGACGACGTAATGTTGGTGAAATAGAATATTTCCATTTATATAAACCCATTAAACAACATAATATCAGCAAAATTGTCATCTTCTTATACTTTTTAATGTATGGATTCGGAAGCAAAATTGCCTGCGTCAAGGGCGATAACTTTATCTCTGTATTTCTGATCTGTTCGAAATGTGAGTGTTCTCCACTAGTAATCAAAATTCTTTGAGTTGATTTTAACATTTAATTTATTTAACTTGAGACCAGTTTAAAACTCTCTAAACATCAAAAATCTGGAGGTAAACAAATTTTATTTATTTACAAAGAAAGCTGATAAATACCACGAGATCATGCCAATCCTTGAACCGTGCCTTCATTATACGTTGGTTGTACGTTGATTTCTTGACGATCTTCACCGTACTACTGTTAATCTACTGCTTTCAATAGATTTACCTTTTTTACAAATTAATGAGTTACAAATCTGCATCGTGTGTTTTCTTACACTAGAAAAGACATGCTTAAAATATTTGAAATATAGGAATTTAAGTGTGGGAATTAATTGTAGCCTACTCTTGTGGGTGGTTTTGCATGATCTTTAAGTAGGAGTACGGTCTGTTCTAAATATCTAGAAAAATAGTCTAAAAACACAGTTCAAATTGTAAATTGTAATGAAAATAATGTACCTATATATTTGAAAGAAATAAACAAATTAATGAAGTTTATAAAACACTGAGTCGTGACGTATCAAATTCTGCACCTTTTTCAGTCATCACACCTGTTTAGATGTTAAAAAAAACGAAATAATGTAGAAAATGTTAGAATTTGTGGAAATGTCATCATTTGAAGTGTAAATTACCTGGTGACCTAGATTTAAATTGTAATAAATGTTAAACCAGGCCCCGATCCAGCTGTGCTTCTCGGGTTTATTATCTCATATATCTTGGCAATATTATGGTTAAATTGATCAACCCTGCTGTCACGAATGGTAGGCTACGTTGTACTTATTATATTTGACAAAACTATCAAAATATAGCCTAGAACTATTGTTATGGAAAGAGGTCTAGGCAGCTATTATTAGACGTAATTCCATAACAAAGATATTTTTTTAAAAACTGAGCACCAACGGAGTGAAAGACAGAATCACTGATATGTTACAAAGATAGCTTGCCAGGCAAGGTTACATACGCCCACTACCAGCTGTCAGAATAAAATCTTTAGTGGCTTAATTGTGAATTTCAAAAAAATCTTAAAATCATCCATAGCCAAGTCAATACTCATCCGAATATTAGCCTACCAATTTCTAACTTGACCGAGATCCCATCAATATATATAGGCTATGCATATCTGATATCATCAAGGTTGGATAAAAACTGTAGTCTCTATCGTGTCTACATGTAGGCTAGGCCTAGGCCTCGCTAGGCCTACGAGTCAAGGGCAAAAACTCTGAAACCGTTCATCCGATTATTACCAATTTCGAATTTGACCGAGATCTCATTAATATATAGGTCTACATGCATGCCTAGTTTCATCAAGATCGGATAATTTCCATGTGGGCGTATAAAAATGAACTTCTATTCGAATGATTCCATCTTCCATCTTGTTCTCGGCCAAACCTTTGGGAAACTGTATTTCCAGTAATCGCTATTACCAATTTATTCAGGTAAATTCTTAGAATCGAGACGCTTTAAAGCATTAGTCGACCGATATAGGCCTACCGACCCCACAAAAATAGGCTAGGTTTCTTTGGCCTAATCAGCCTGACAATTTTAGAGAACCACAACACAGGATTATATTGGTCGAAAAACTAAGCAAGATTTAATTAGATAGTCCGTTCCCAATGTGTTAACTATTTTATTATGGCCTAAAAAAAGATTCCGTTCAACTTGATTGAATTAACCGATTTCTTTCAGTTTAAGAGATATAGCTATCTAACTATTCGCTTTAAAACTAAGCAGCTGATACAACTTCATTTCACAAATTAATGTGGGACAAAAAATTATGAGAATGTCTCAGAGTCAGACTTATAAAAACGTCATTTATATTACGTCATCCGACGTCATGACGTCATTAACAACGACAACTTCCGGAGTTAAACTAATGGAAAAAAATTAGCCATGTTTTTGATTAAATATTTTGTTATATCATTAACATGTTTTCTTGCTTGTGGACTTCCGTTGTCAGCTATAGAAGAAGATGACAGAGACTCAGATTGGCAGGAAAAAAAGGAGGCATTTGGAAAAGGCGAAGATGATGAAGACGACGACGACAATGAGTATGATGAGGACTATGATGATCAAGAAGAAAATAATGATAAGTTCAAGGAAGACAGCGAAACTGCATCTGAGAAAGACCTGAATGCAAACGATAATGAAGGTCTGTTCTCAGGCCTATTTAGAAAGAAAAGATCTAAAATTTCCTTTGACGACGACGACGATGATGAAGACGATTATGATGATGATGATGATGACGAGGAAGATGAAGATACGGAGGGAGACAAAAACAAAAGAAAATATCAGACTGACATCAAAAGAATAACCAAGAAAGATGGAAAAAATATTGACAACGATGATGATGATATAAATGATGTTAAAGACGATGATGATAATGATGATGATGATGATGATGATGAAGATGGTGATGATGACGATGACGATGACGATGAAGATGACATTGATGATGACAACAATGAAGAAAAGCTTTTGAAAGACAATATAAATTTTGATTATGACAATGGAGATGAAACTGGTTTAGTTACAGCAGAAGACGGTTCTTCATACAGAAGAAAACGATCATCACGAAATGATGATGTTGAAAACGCCGATTTTGATGATTATGATGATGGTGATGATGATGATGAAGTCATTGATAACAATGATGATAACAACATCAATGAAAACAATGATGATGACAACATCAATGATAATGAAGACGATAACGAAATTGAAGATACCGGTAGTAATGATGTCGACGACAATGATACTAACATGGAAGATAATAATGTCGAAAATGTCGAAGTAGACGATATATACGATGTTGATGAAGACCAGGATATCGGAGATAAAGAACTTGCTCTGTTTCGGAGGAGAAGAAGTTCCTCAAGTAAAAATCCACAAACTGCATTGAAAGATTTGAATTCTGAAATAGATAACGTTTTGAAGAGGTTGACCAATCAATACGTCGCCGTAGCAGCTTCCACTGGAAGACCGAAATCAAGAACAAAGCGAGTGAAGCGATTTCTTTTTGGACATAGCATATTGGACGATATGCCAGTAGCAAACAATACAGCAAATGTAACTGAAAGTGCTAATACTACTTTCTCTCCGATTTTAGAGGCCAATATAAATGGGACAAAGAGCAGCGCAATTCGTTTGACACTTAGAGATCGAATCCTTCAAACTCTTCGAAAACTCACTCATCTACAATCTGGTGATAAAATGGAAAAACACAAGCAAGGTCGTATTGATATAAATCTACAAAGACTGCCAAATATATTAAACAAGGCAAAAATAAAATTCCCTCTTCCAGTTGTAGTTCACGATCGACATAAATTACCTAAAGTTCGTTATCTACCCACAAGTCTTCATGTACAGAGGTACGATTTCAATCCCAATGATGTTTTAGATAATAGAAGAACAGATGACGAAAGATATGATTTCGACAAGAACCAATATGAAGATGTCCATAAAGGTCTACCAAGGACTAAAAGAGTCAAACGCGGCCTTAAACACACAGGTAATAAAAAAGTAGGGCTACTGTTATATGGGCGATAAAAGTTGTGTGGTTTTGGGGGGGGATGTTTAGGGAGAAAAAGACAACAAGAGGACTATGGGCATTATCATGGAACTTTACTTCACGATACGGTACATAAAGTTAAACTGCGAATTTCAATTTTTTGTTGAAAAAGATAGGACAGCCAAAAGTCGTGTGTACAAATGTAAATGACTTATGTAAAAATCAAAACCAATCACTAAAATGATCTTGTAGGCGTAGTCTTACAATTCAAGTTGAATGATATTGAGACTCTTCTCGTTGTAGACTACCTTCCGAAGTCAGATTTGTTAGGTGGTGATGATGATGGTGATGATGAAGACCAAGATGATGAACCTTTTGGAGAAGTTGAGATTCATGAAACTCAAAACTTCGATATTATGGAGCATGATAATCCAGAAGGAATTGGTGTCCATGACTTGCAAAATTATAAAGGGCCCAAATCAGATATGTCTCCTAGTGCTCAAGTCTATGTTGAATCTAGTCGAAAACGCAAGAAGAGATCTATCCCTTCTTTTGGCACCCCCTTAGGTGGCAAACCTATTGGTTCTAATGCTCGTAAACCATTAGGCAGTAAACCTATGATTGGTAAACCCATGACCGACAAACCTGTAGGCAGTAAACCTATGGTTGGTAAACCCATGACCGACAAACCTGTGGGCAGTAAACCTATGGTTGGTAAACCCATGACCAACAAACCTGTAGGCAGTAAACCTTTGGTTGGTAAACCCATGACCGACAAACCTGTAGGCAGTAAACCTATGGTTGGTAAACCCATGACCAACAAACCTGTAGGCAGTAAACCTTTGGTTGGTAAACCCATGACCGACAAACCTGTAGGCAGTAAACCTATGGTTGGTAAACCCATGACCGACAAACCTGTAGGCAGTAAACCTATGATAGGTAAACCCATGACCGACAAACATGTAGGCAGTAAACCTATGGTTGGTAAACCCATGACCGACAAACCTGTAGGCAATAAACCTATGGTTGGTAAACCCATGACCGACAAACCTGTAGGCAATAAACCCATGGCTCGTAAACTTGTAGGAGGTAAACCTATGGCTGGAAAACCTGCTGGCGGTAAACCTTTTGGAGATATGCGTCCTATGTCTCGCAGACGTTTAAGTCGTAAACGTAGACCTTTAGGCGTGAAACATCATGGTCTTTCTGCTAAAAAAAGAATGTTTTAGCAGCCAGATGATCGTTTGAATTTTAGGAATCTTTCGAAACCAACATAAATACAATACAATGTAAACTGGTCTTTTATAGAAAATATTTTTAAATTGTCTTTATTTTGTCAAAGAAAAAAATAATGAAATAAAACTAAAAAAAACTACATTATGCTGTCGTTTTCCATTGAAAAATTTACCCATCTCGGGGCATCATAGAGCACCATTTCAAATGACGTCACTAATCACAAAATAATATGCTTTATCACATAATACCCTTCGCGATTAGTGATGTCATCAAACACCTAGATATAGTGGAATTGCAGGAACCACAGACGTCTGATTGAAAATTGGCATAGTGCAAATTGATTTTATCGGTGTCCCCGATACACATAAAAAAAATTATGGAAACCTCTTTGCAATCCAGTGGAAACGTATATTTCAGCAATAGAAACATACCAAGAAAAATGTAGCAATGTAGGTGATAAAATACTTATGTTGTTAATGTTTTTTTGTGATAAATGTCAACCATAATTATACAATAGCACTTTGTGTTTCACAATGTTAAAAAAGAAAATTCCCATTCATAAAGTTGATGAGTTTTTAAAGAACAAAAATATTTCCCACGAGTGTGTCATAAAAGTAACGAATTAATGAGAATGAGTAATATCTAATGTTATTTCCGTGAAATGGAAAAATCAAAGCTAGACATTTTTTCTGTAGGCAATTCTAATACACACCCATCCAGACGCACTCCTTCTCTCTCTTCACTCCCCTCACTCCTCCATCTTCTCTCCCCACACCCATCCCTCTTCTCTCCCCACACTTCCCCTCTTCTCTCCCCACACTCCTTCTTCCTCTTTTCTTCCCGATCTCCTCCCTTTTCTCTCCCCGCACTCCATCTTCCTCCAAATCTTCCCGATCTCCTCCCTCTACTCTCCTCACACTCCTTCTCCCTCTTCTCTCCTCGCACTCCTCCCTCTTCTTTCCCTGCACTCCTTCTCCTCCTTCTCTCCCCGCGCTCCCCCTCTTCTCTCCCCGTACATCTTCTAACTCTTCATTCCTCGCACTCCTTCTCCTCTTCTCTCCTCGCACTCCTTCTCCTCTTATCTCCTCACACTCCTTCTCCCTCTCCTGTTTTCTTATACCAATATTATGTCCATTTACGGAGTGATACAGATTTGTCCTTATGATTACCATATTCTGTTTCAAAACCCGTATCTAACATCAATGTAACTATGGATCATATATATCAAAATTGGTTTTCGAACTGTCCATGCCTTTTTTTATCAGGCTATTGTATTTCTAGCTGATGTATTTATAGTCATGTGTCACCTACTAAATTACTTACAAAACTGACTTATAATATGTTTTCTCTTACTTAGTTCTTAATATATCACAATATAGGAAACAGAACACCGTAATTTAATCCAGATTGAAATAGACTTACATTGGTTTCTTTAAATTCAATTATTACATAGATTAAATGGGATTAAGTCTATAATTAAAAGTTATAGTATATAAAGTAAAGTTATATTTTTAAGAAATGTTTTAACAATAGAAAACGTTACATTTCTCTCTGATATCTTATTTTAATGTAATAAATTTCTGTTTACAAATGGGTAGACATTTTGTTTTATTAGTAAAAACTTGACCCTAATAATTACTAAATGTGTACAATACAGAATCCTCATTGTGTTAGTAAATTGTAAAGCGAGCCATTTAAAACATGAACACACGAAATACAGAGTAAAAGAGAAAGAGCTGGGTACTATATAATGATAGGTGGGATTAAAATCTTTCAAATCAGTCATTCGTAAGGTCGGCAGATTATATCTACGGCCACAGTTTTTAAGGTTTTAATCGAATAAAAGTTTAATGCTTAATTAATGTTTAATTTAACACCCAATTTTTTGACTAAAGTTTTTTCGACGGCAAAATAATGTGCCAGATATCGAGCGAACTGGCTGTCAGTTTACATTAAACGTTAAAACACCTTTGTGAACTTGGACGCTGGCCACAGAACCACCTCCTCCCCCAATAA